AAGTCTTCACTGGTGTAAATGAGTAATTAGTAAACAGGACAGAAAGAAAAGCTTTTCCAGAGTAGAAAACTGAAGCTGTGCATAGTGGTTCATACCTGTAATCCTAGCACTTTGGATGGCAGAGGTGGGAGGACTGCTTGGGGGCAAGAGTTCCAGAACAACCTGGACAACATAGTGAGACCTTGTCTCTGCAGAAAACTAGCTGGGCATGGTAGTGTGTATCTGTACTTCCAGCTACTGGAGAGGCTGAGGCGGAAGGATCACATGAGCCCAGGAGTTGAGGCTACAGTCTACTCCAGCCTGGGGGACAGAGTAACCCCAACTCAAAAAAAAGAAAGAAAAGTGACATACTGTCTATAAAAGAAATTATGGGATTCCCAAAACATAATTTGGCAACCACAATAATAGCAATTGCTTTGGGTAAGAATCACTAATAGATGATGAAACTAGTAGATTTGATGAAAAACAAGGGTTTTGTTTTTTTGAGTTGGAGTCTCACTCTGTCACCCAGACTGGAGTGCAATGGCCGCTCCTGGCCACCGCAGCCTCTACCTGCTGGGCTCCGGCAATCTTTCCGTCTCAGCCTTCCAAGTAGCTGGAACTACAGGCGCGTGTTACCACGCCCGGCTGATTTTTTAATTTATTGTAGAGATGAGGTCTTGTCAAGTTGCTCAGGCGGGTCTCGAACTCGCAGGCTCAGGCATTCCACTCGCCTCGGCTTCCCAAAGTGCTGGGATTACAGGCTGAGCCACCGAGCCCCGCCAAAAACAAGGTTGTTATACAGACTGGAAATAGATACTTAATAGTTAAAAAGGGAAAACATAGTAACCTTATAGTAGAGAAACTTGACAAATGATAAAAAAGTTCATATCAGTAGTAATGAAACAAAAATGACATCATATGCCTCCTGCCTGATACACTGCACTGTGAGGGACGCATCTTCTCTCTGATATTCCTGTCAAAAGGTGGATGACCTGATCAAAACAAAAAAAAATAGATAAACCTAAGCCAGAGGGTCAGTCTACAAAATAATAGCCTGTAGACTTTAAAAACGTCAAGGTCATCATGAAAGATAAGGACTTTAGCTTTTTCAGATTAAAGGAGAGTGAAAAGGTGATAACTAAGTGTTATGTTATGATTCTAGATTAAGTCAGGAAAACAGAGATATGTCCCTGTTTTTAGGAAATCAAACTAAAGTAAAGTATAAAGGAGCAACATGCTTGCAATGGACTCTTAATCAGCTCATGGAAAAAGCTGTGTGTATATATGTCTAGAGGAGAGAGAATAGAGGAAGTTGATAAGTAAATGTGGTAAAATGCTGCCATCTGGGCCAAGGGTATACAGGAATTCTTTGTACTGCATCTCAATTTTACTTTAAGTCTTAAATTATTTCAGAATAAGGTTTTTGTTTTGTTTTGTTTTTAAATAAACAGAAAACACCAACTTGGTTGAATGCTACATGCCAGTATATCTACTGTTGGTTCTGCTCTGGCTGAACCAAAAATGTGTATATAACTCTGCCTTATTCTTTACCATTTTTTCTCTAAATGAACGATTCCATTGTCCTAAAAACTCATTGTCAAGGACCGATAGACCGGTGTTGGTGGTAGAACCATTTGTAACAACACTGGGAGCTATAAGCTCACAGAATTGAAGTACTCTGTTTATTGTACCAAATAGGCTAGACTATCAGACATCAGAGTGCTCCGAAGACCTCAGTGATAGGACTTTGGAGATTTTTTCGCTGGTGAGAAGCTATTAAGGTGACTCAGCTCTCGCCACCTCTACTCTCTGTATCTCTTTATGTAATTTTGCAATACCCAGAAGATAAAACATGTTGATTGCTTCTGGCAGCACCTGTCCCTTAAATAGACTGCTGTGGTCAGAGGAACAAGGGCACAGGACACAGGCATCAGTCCCAAAGAAGAAGGACTAGCAGAGTAGCCATCCACTCTGACATCTCTTCCCAGATCTGCTCTAATTGTTTCATGTCTGATCTGTTCCATTCTCTTCTTTGAGGCCATCTTCCCTGCCACCACTAGAGTTATCCTCAACCAACTGTAATTCTTAAATGTCATCTGTACAGGAGCAGCATCAGTATTGTTTGGGAACTTGCTACAAATGCAAATTCTCAGGTCCCTTCTCAGAGCTATTTGAATCAGAAACTCTGGAGGTGGACCTAGCACTCTGTTTAGCGAGTCCTTCAGTTGATTCTGATACATGCTAACATTTGAGGATCACAGATCTCCTGCATAAATCTGATCATATTTTTCCTCCTTTAAAAAACTTAATGGCTCATCCGAGCACACACTCCAGTGTCCTTACTCATCACATAAAGGATCCTTTGTGATCTCCCATCAGCCTGCTTGTGTAACTGTGTGCCTCTGCCCCCTACATGCACCCTCTCAGCATCCTGTCACACAGAAATTTGCTGAGCCCTTTCCTGGACTGCCACCTGGTGAACTTCTCTTCCATTGCTTTCTCTGTGATGTCTTCTTTGGCTCCCTAGGCACTTTCTGTCTTGTATGACAAGTATACTAGATTAACTAGATTAATCCAGTATACTAAGTATATTAGATTAACAAGGATATATTATTTCTCAACAGTGTCTTTTTCTCTCTCAGAGTTTGCCCTGGGTAGAGAATTTAGTATCTTGGAGTGTTTGTAAGTAACTTTATATTAAAGTTAATACTATACTGATATCCAGACTTTTTCAGTCTGTGTAAATAGAGCACTATTTACATTTGTGAGATAAATTTTGTCTATTCATTATGAGACGAGTTTGATGCAATATAAGCAAGAGGGGAAGAGGTTTCCCCTTTGACTTGACAGTATTGTTATCCCGACAGCATTTAATGTGAAGTTACTGTAGCCAGAGAAGAATCTTAGGAGGCTTTAATTAAAAGCATAAGTTTTCTCCTCCCCATGTCTCCTTCCTCTTTTTCATCTTTCTCCCATCTTTTTCTTTTTTCCTCTTCACTTCTATGTTTTCCCTTCTCCTTCTCCTCTCTTTGTTCTCTTCATCATCCTTTAACATTTAAAATGTTTTTAGCTTGGCTAATCTCTATGGATAGAAACTTAGCAGAGCAGGATATTGATTACCAAATATGGTATTGCTGCTAAAGATGTTAGAGGAATGTGGCTTGTATTCTAAGCCTCTGGCCTCTGAATAAGCTGCCAAACAAATTAGATCATTTTAACTCTGAGATTTTTTTTTTAAATAAGGATGCTAGATCTCTGATTTGGAACATGATGTTGATGTTATTTTAGCTCAAAATAGGAGGGAGGGGTATGAAAGAGGGGGTAGGGAGTGAGTGAGTCTCGTTCAGCATGTTTTAGGACTTGAGCCACCATTCCAGGTTGTGTAAGAAGCAAGCAGTTAGCTGTGTGGCACCTAAGTTAATTCTGGAACGCCAGTAAAAGAGCTGAGACATAGAAATCAGATGTGCAGTCTTATTATCTGAGGCTACAAACTCCAGAGGACTACCAACACGTCCCAGGATACTCTTTTCAAGTTATCTGTGGATGGCCTGGGCCACAGTACTCACATTGCTGTGAACTCAGATTTAGGAAAGTTGCCTCTTCACAGAAAGGTTGGTCAAATTTAGTGCTAGGGAGGACACCCTGGAGTTAATGGCAAGTTGCTGCTCTGTGTGTCTGATGGGGTTTGGTGTGAATGTACAAGTCCTTCCACAGCATACCTTTGGGTGACAGCTGGGGACAATGCTTGCCTCCCAGCAAAGACCACAGCTCTTCAGGTCCATATTTGGCAATATGTGTTCTGTTGTGATACTGACTTTGTTAGGGTGAGATGCTAAGTGGAAGCTAATAGGAAGCAAACACTGATTCAGAATGCAGTTGTGTTTTTCTCCATGTCTGGCAAGATAATATTGAGGTTTCCCAAATAGAAAAAACAAATCAAAACACACTAGTTAAAGAAAATTATTGGCTGGGTGCAGTGGCTCATGCCTATAACCCCAGGACTTTGGGAGGCCAAGGTGAGAGGATTGCCTGAGCCCACAGATTTGAGACCAGTCCAGGCAACTTGGTGAGACCTCATCTCTACAATTAATCAAAAAATTAGTAGGACGTGGTGGCACATGTCTGTAGTTCCAGCTACTTGGAAGGCTGAGGTGGAAGGATCACCTGAGCCCAGCAGGTTGAAGCTGCAATGGCCGTGAGCATGCCACTGCACTCCAGTCTGGGCGACAGAGTGATGCTCCAACTCAAAAAAAAGAAAATAAAATTATTTTTGTGTTTTACAAAACTTAATGCCCCCTTTTTACTTTCTGGTGTTGGTAAAGTATAAACTAGTGTATTCCTTCCCATTTCCCTTCCCCCCCCCCCCACAGTTGATTTCTTCTCAGAACGAATGAATCTGGCTCATGAAGAAATTCCACCCACTCCAGGATTGCTAGGTCAGGGATCTAGGGCTTTTGTTGTACCTCCCTGAGGACCTCTCTTTCCTTTCTCTTCCCCCCTAACTTCCTCTTATTGCTATTATCATCCAGTCACTGGCCACAGTTATCGTGAGATTCTTTATTATGCCTAGTAATGCAGCCATTTTTGAATGGTGGGGACGGGTTTCAAATAGAATTATCTGCCCTAAATCTTGTCTATCGTTTATTGTATTAAACATGATTTGTTTCAGCTAAACTAAAAGAATAGGGGCAAGGGCAACTGAAATTACTATAATTAATCAGAGTTATTAACTGTGCTAGGAATTTTTTGGTCCAAATTTTAAGTTGTTGTCAAAAAAAAAGGGGATAGTTTAAAATCTATGTAACTAAATTTTTAAATTAAATAAACTAAATTCTGCTGTCTTTCTGGACACTTTGTGTTGTGGGTTTTCGTATATTCTGTGTAAGTAGTGAGAATGAGAGCTCCTGCTGACCTTTTTTCCTGATAGGCCAGGCTTTACTGATGTGTTTATTTTGTCACCATTCCGGTTTGATTCTAAGGAAATGAAAACATCTTCCATTTGTTCTTTATTTCCAAAGGGCATCCGCTTCGATCCTGAAATTCCGCAAACACTACGACTAGAGTTTGCTAAGGCAAACACGAAGATGGCCAAGAACAAACTAGTAGGGACTCCAAACCCCAGTACTCCTCTGCCTAACACTGTACCTCAGTTCATTGCCAGAGAGCCATGTAAGTTGATCTACTTTTCATTTTTTTAAGAGAAAGAATTGTTCATGTACTGCATGTGAGATTACACTACAGGATATAGAGCTGACTGACTCTTATTTTTCATTTCTGTGAAGAGGTTGTTTGTTCTTGCTGTCTGAATTCCAGATACAGCAATTTTGTTGGTTATTGGCTGTCCCAAAAGATAGTTCAATGTGAACTTTAAAATTTCATTTGATGTGCTGTAGGTTTCCTTAATGTGGTGTTTACCATTTACCATTGTGAGTATGCCCCTATTTGTCTTGGGATATAAACTCTTCTTTAGTTCCCATCCTTGCTTACAGGAGATGGTTCTCAGCATTCACTTTTCTGTACTTCATCAGTTCTGTGGTTCTGGAAAAATAGGATATTAAAAGTGAAGGAAGCAAATCTTAGGAAGTTTGTTATATTTTTGAGAACAGTGTAGCTATAACTAGGGGGAAAAGTAAACACAGAGACTTTATATATTGAAACAATCAGTTTAGCAAATTAATAAACCAGTAAAACTTTGAGGAAAATTGGGCCTTCCTGTTTTAAATTAATTGGGTAAGGACACTGGCTAATTGCTTAACAAATCTTTTTCTCCACATTAATGAGTTTATTCCATTAAATGTCCAAACTACAGTTTTTGCCTTTCATCCAATAACTTTAAAAGGTTGTTGTAATTTTCTTTCTCAAGCTCAGTCAGTGGCAGAAGTGAGGCATGAGACAGTCCTTAACTTTTCCTTTCATTGCAGAGCCATATGTGATTTAATAAGGCAGGGCATTCAAGGAAGCCTAAATAACTTGGAGTTATTTGGAATAATTCTGTCCTATCGTTTTTGATCTTCTTTCTAGACCACATGATTGTGGTCTTCTTCCTGCCTTCTTGACATTGCATTTCAACTCTTCTTATTGAAATGAAAGGGCACGTGGGTTCCTTGCTCCCCCCATGTCATGTGCATGTCAAATTTAATCAGGTTACCATGGAAGTTACAGTCATTCTGTAACTCAGTCACTCTTGAGAAAGCTTCTGCTTGTTAGTGGAAACTAATAGATAAGAGTTTCTCTCCCATCTTGTTCTAAAATAAATTTTTCTATGAAACCAGAAAGTCATAATAGAAAAAAAATTATTTTGTTCTTCCATATCCTAAGGAAACTGGAAACCTTTGTTTATTTAGGAAATCTAAACAAAAGTTTTGTCTTATAGTGAGTGCATTTGTGGTACAGGAGGATATAGAAACAATCCATACTTTTTTTTTTTTTTTGAGTCATAGTCTCATTCTGTCACCCAGGCTGGAATGCAGTAGCGTGATCACGGCTCACTAAAGCCTCAAACTCCTGGGCTCGAGCACTTCTCCCACCTCAGCCTCTTACGTAGCTGGAACTATAGGCACACACCACCACACCTAGCTAATTTTTTTATTTTGTAGAGGCAAGGTCTATGTTGCCTAGACTGGGCTATACATAATTCTTTATCCTTATAGCATCTAGCTCAGTAGATTGTATGTTGTATATATTTAATAAATTTTATTGCAGTGAGTAGATAAATTTATATTTAAATTTGGTTATTTGTAGAGTTAAAATGGTATTCATATACCTCTTTATTTCTCTCTGAAATTTATTCACTCTTGTTTAAGGTATCAGAAAAGAGTATTTTTAGGATGCCAAATTTAGAAGATAACCTAGAGTAATTCTTTGCTTTTTTTGCTTTTTTTTTGAGTTGGATTCTCATGGCTAACCCAGCGTTGACCTGCTGCTCTAGCAATCCTTCTGCCTCAGCCTTCCAAGTAGCCAGAACTACAGGCACACACTACCATGTCTGGCTAATTTTTTAAAATTTATTGTAGAGATGAGGTCTCACCAAGTTGTCTGGGCTGGTCTTGAACCCACGGGCTCAGGCAGTCCACTCGCCTCAGCCTCCCAAAGTGCTGGGATTACAGACTGAGTCAGTGAGCCTGGCTAATTCTTTGCTTTTTTAGTGAATTTGGCAGCCTCAGATCTCAGAGTCCTTTGAAAAGATTAATTAAGATAGGGAGTGTAATACTGGTGATACTTAACTTTATACTTTAAATTATTTGCTTTTTAAGACCACAAAACTGTTTCTGCTTTAACAACTCTGTGAAATAGGTAGCCAGGGAAGTCTTGTCCATTCACAACATGAACTTGATATTCACAGGTCCCTGAAGTTAAAGGAGAGAATAGAAGCAGACCTTAGAACTCTATTCTGGCCAACTCTGCTCATCTCCCTTCCCTGCATACAGAATAGCTCAGAAATGGTCAGATAGTTTCCATGGCAGGGTCAAAACTTGCCCAACTGCTTGTAGTAAAACAAACTTGAAGTTTAAAAAAAAAAAGCAACCAGCAGTGTATTCTTGAGAAAATAAAAGTTAGCATGATTTCTCTTAATATAGCTCCTTTTTATGACACAGGGGCCTTGATGAGAGCAGTTCCACTATGACTCAGATCGACCTTATCATCCATTACCATCCCCTCTGGGAACTGTGAATTTCCCTGTCACATACACAGAATTGTTGCTTTCCTGGAAGCACACTGCAGACTAAGAACACTGTGGTATGTCTACACTGGGAAATCCAGCTGCATTGTACACATTGGTACTAAAGATGACTAGTTTACCCATCAGGTATAGACTGTCATGGAGTCACAAAATTTTGTGCTTGGAAAATCCCTAAGGTTTCTCTGTTGTGGACCACGAGAGAGAAGTTTTATAAATGCTTCTTTTTGTTAATGTTTTTATATGGTAGTGACTGAAAAGTACTCATTGCCATTATAAAAGGATGAATGTTCTATGATTTGATTATACAACAAACATTTACTTGAACTCTCAGTTCTCCATAAATATCTGAACTTAAGGAACTTAAATAAATACCAAGTATGCAAAATACTGAAGAAGAAGGAAACTGTGATTGCTGTCTTAAAAGAGCTGTCAGTCCATGGAGTTGGTGGCGCTCAAAGTTGTCAGAAAAACTTGGCCCTATACAAAAGACATAAAAGAGATTCCATAGCTTAGTCTCTATTGCTCCCAAATCAGACTGCTATGTTTGCCGAGCACCTACTCTGTGTCAGGCATGGAGAATGAGAAAACAAGGTATTGGAGTTTTCCAGGGTAGATGGTAGCTTGCTGTGGAGAACTTTGGCTTCAGACTGGATAATGTCAGTGAGGATTCTGTATTATTGACAAGCTTTGTGACCTTTCAGAAAAAAACATTTAAATTTGTTGTGTTCCTGTTCCCTTGATTGTAAAATGAAAATAATACTTTCTTCACATGATTGTTAGAAAAACTAAATAAAGCAATATCACAGGATTGTGTTGAGGATTAAATAGGTATCATATACAAGGTGGTACTCCCCCAAACCGAAATTTATTTATAAAAAATTGTGTATTTATTCTAATCCTACATGTTTAAACTTCAGTCACCTGTGATGGATGCCATCCATCTATTGAGATGCTTTTTCCCCTGCTCAAAACAGTTTTTGAACTTGTCAATTTTGATGCCCATGAATGCTTCTGCCATTTTTTGTTTCATCCCTTACACATTGGCAAAATGTTTCATCGGGAAAACAAACAAACAAAAATGCTTGGGGCAAGATCAGGTGAATAGGGAGGATAGGGCGTGGGGGTCATGCCATTTTAGGTCAAAAACTGCTGAACACTCAGTGCGGTGTGGGCAGGTGCAGTTGTAAATCACCCATCATGAAATGGGCAAACATGTTGAAAGAGTCTTAAAAAAAAAAAAAATCTACTGAAGCCAAATGCAACCTCTCACAACAATGCTAGCTGGTACATTGATGTTGATGAGTTTCTAGAACACTTCCCTAGCAGGGGAAGCCTGTATACAAGGGGGCTACCTTCCAAAAAATAATTTTTTTGGAGGGGGAGGTCCCCTCTTGTATGTGAACTACTAGACAAATGTAAAGTACAACCATAATTTTTTTTTAAATAAAAAACATTGGTTGCCTTTCTTTCCTAATAGTTAAAACAGGTATTGATCTTGTGAGCTGTCATGATTATGTGAGTATAGCCGGTCTGGTATTTTGTTATGGCAGCTCTAGCAAACTAATACATTAAGTGACAGAACCTTGTCTTTGTAAGTCAGAAAAAAAGGATTAATGAAATTCACATATAATCACAAGAAAGTAATGTCTTCCTGACTAAATTTTCACTAACAGAATTGATAATTAATTTGAGCCTCTCCTTGTCTTACTTCCTTGTATGTAAAAATTAAAAAGGCATTCTCCTATATTACATATTATTTTGTACAGGAAGGTAGTATTTTGTAATGTAAGATGAAAAAAGGGCTAATCACCCTCTGATTTTTGTTTTTTTATCTGTAAAATGATGCTATGGGCTAGATACTCTGCCTAGCATTGCACATGATTTAACAAAAGCACTATTTCACAGTTGAAGAAACTGTGGCATAGGAAGGTCTAGTAACTTTCTTGAGGTTACATAGTCAATAAGTGTTACGGGCTAAATTGTATCCCCCACATTCCTATATTGAAGTCCCAACCCCTAGGGCCTCAAAATGTAACCATATTTGGAGTTAAGGTTTTTAAGGAGAGGATTAACTTCATGTGAGGCCATTTAGAGTCCTAATTCAATATGACTATTGTCCTTATAACAAGAAAAAGAGATACCGGGTATGTGTACACACAGAGAAAAGGCCATGTAAGAACACAGGAGAAGGCAGCCATATGCAGGCCAAGGAGCAAGGACTTAGGGAGAAACCAAACCTGCCAACACACCTTAAATCTTGACTTCCAGCCTCTAGAACTGAGAAAATAAATTTCTGTTGTGTAAGCCACCCAGTCTGTGGTATGTTGCTATGGCAGCCTTAGCAAACTAATCTTTTAAGTGGTAGAGCCTAGATTTAAATTTTGGCCTGTCATTTACTAGTACTTTTTTTTTTTTCTAAGAGACAGGGTCTCACTCTTGTCTCCCAGGTTGGAATGCAGTGGCATGATAATAGCTCATTACAGCCTTGAACTCCTGAGTTCAAGCAATCCTCCTGCCTCAGTTTCTTGAGTAGCTGGGACTACAGGTGCGCACCACCATAACTGACTAATTTTCTAT